CAACTCAACCCAACTCAACCAAACCAACCCAACCAAACCAAACCAACCCAACTGAACCCAACCAACCCAACCCAACCAAACCAACCCAACCCAACCCAAGTCAACCAACCCCACCCAACTGAACCCAACCCCACCCAACTGAACCCAACCCAACCCAACAGAACCCAACCCCACCCAACTGAACCCAACCCCACCCAACTGAACCCAACCCAACCCAACAGAACCCAACCCAACCAACCCAACTGAACCCAACTGAACCCAACTCAACCAACCCAACCCAACTCAACCAACCCCACCCAACTGAACCCAACCCCACCCAACTGAACCCAACCCAACCCAACTCAACCAACCCAACCCAACCAACCCAACCCAACCCAACCAACCCAACCCGACCAACCCAACTGAACCCAGCCCAACCCAACCCAACCCAGCCCAACCCAACCCAACCTAACCCAACTCAACCAACCCAACCAACTCGACCAAAATCAACCCAACACAACCAACCCAACCCAACCAACCCAACCCAACTCAACCCAACCCAACCCAACCCAGCCCAACCCAACCCAACCTAACCCAACTCAACCAACCCAACCAACTCGACCAAAATCAACCCAACCCAACTCAACCCAACCCAACCCAACCCAACCCAAGGACTGGTGCCAAGGCTCACCGGCGTGCCGGCAGGCAGCGGCGAAGACGAGGATGTCATCCCAACCCAACCCAACCCAACCCAACCAACCCAACCCAACCCAACTCAACCCAACCCAAGCCAAGCCAAGCCAAGGACTGGTGCCGAGGCTCACCGGCGTGCCGGCAGGCGGCGGCGAAGACGAGGATGTCGTCGAAGGGGCCGGTGTAGCCGGGCGGCGGCGGGTGGAAGGCCAAGAGCCGCGAGCGCTCCCGGCGCAGGTCCAGCAGGAAGGTGGAGTGAACCATCGGCACCGCGAAGCAGCCCCGGCGCTCCCGGCGCCGGATCGGCAGGTAGTCGGCCGTGCGGCGGTAATAGCCCTGGCACAGAGTGACCGCTGGGAGTGACCGCTGGGAGTGACCGCTGGGAGTGGGGAGTGACCACTGGGAATGGGGAGTGACCAATGGGAATGGCCACAGGGAATGGGGAGTGACCACTGGGAATGGGGAGTGACCAATGGGAATGGCCACAGGGAATGGGGAGTGACCAATGGGAATGGGGAGTGACCACTGGGAGTGGGGAGTGACCACTGGGAA